GTTACCCCCAACATCATGGCACAGTGGCGGTGGCAGCGTGGTCACTACGTTAACTCCCCCAACATCATGGCACAGTGGCAGCGTACACTACTGTTAACTCCCCAAACATCATGGCACAGTGGTGGTGGCGCATGGCCACTACTGTTAACTCCCCAACATCATGGCACAGTGGTGTTGGCAGCATGGCCACTACTGTTAACCCCCAACATCATGGCACACCGTGGTGGCAGCGTGGCCACTACTGTTAACTCCCAACAACATGGCACACTGGTGGTGGCAGGCCACTACTGTTAACTCCCCAACATCATGGCACAGTAAGGTGGCAGCGTGCCACTACTTTAACCCCCAACATCATGGCACAGTGATGGTGCGAGCATACTACTGTTAACTCCCCCAACATCATGGCACAGTGGTGGTGGCAGTGTGGCCACTACTGTTAACTCCAACATCATGGCACAGTGGTGGTGGTGGCAGCTTGGCCACTACTGTTAACCCCAACATCATGGCACACTGGTGGTGGCAGCGTGGCCACTACTGTTAACTCCCCAACATCGGCACATTGGTGTGATACATACCACTCAACCCCCAACATCATGGCACAATGGTGGTGGCAGCATGGCCACTACTGTTAACTCCCAACATCATGGCACAGTGATGGTGGCAGCGTGGTCACAACTGTTAACACCCCCAACATCATGGCACAGAGGTGGTGGCAGCGTGGCCACTACTTTAACTCCCCAACATCAGCGGCACACTGGTGGTGGCAGCGGCCACTACTGTTAACTCCCCAACATCATGGCACAGTGGTGGTGGCAGCGGGCCACTACTGTTAACTGCCCCAACATCATGGCACAGTGGTGCGCGGGCCACTACTGTTAACTCCCAACATCATGGCACAGAGGTGGTGGCAGCGTGGCCATACTACTGTTAACCCCCAACATCATGGCACAGAGTGGTGGCAGAGTGGCCACTACTGTTAACTCCCCAACATCATACACTGGTGGTGGCAGCGGTGGCTACTACTGTTAACCCCAACATCATGGGCACTGGTGCTGCTCGACTGGTCGGTTGTTTGGTCCAAGAAATCAACCAAGAGGAAACAGCTGCCAATCACAATGTTTTTCAAGAAAGAACCAGCCGCTTGCCCAGCTGATTGGTCTCTTCCTCACTCAGTCAGCTGCTGTCACCACTCCACCACTCTCCTCCTCTTCCCAACCAACTGCAACCTCACCACCCACCTCCCAGCCACCACCACCACCACCCACCTCCCAGCCACGCACCACCTCGCCACCCACCTCCCAGCCACACCACCTGCCACGCGCTCAGTCACCCACCACCTCACCACCCACCTAACGGCCATGCACCACCTCACCACCCACCTCCTGGCCATGCACCACCTCACCACCTGCCCCCTGGCCACACACCACCCACCTCCTGGCCACACACCACCTCACCACCCATCTGCCTCCCGGCCACGCACCACCCCTCCCACCTAAGATTTGTCACAGGTGAGAGATACCCCTTCACCAGAACCACAGCCGAGATACATAGAGACCTGAGAATAAAACCCATCAACCAGCAGCTGTACACCCTGGCCAGCAGAATCTGGCAAACGATACAATGATCAGAGCAAGAACTCCTTCAAAGTCTCCCACCAGATAACGACAACAACCATACATGGTTCCCAAAAAGTTACCAAATCTCAAAGGTCCATTACCACCCCCAACTCACGGCCAGGCAATAGATAATCAACCTAGACCAGCATCCGCCAGTAGGGTCAGCGGAATATGAAATGAGGCCCTTAAAACATCCATATATGGGACAGGGTAGGATGTCTAGTGCCTGTACAAACAGACAATAACTAACCCATGACACAACCCTAACACACTACAGGTATTAGCTTAGCTAGGCGGTCAACCCGCTGTCTCTTACCTCCTCCTAAATTTCTTCAATTTCCAAACTATAACTTCCTTCCCCACCCTCTAATCTTCTTTCACCTTTCCTTTCTCTCAAAAGAAAAAAAAAAAAAACCTCCCAGACACACACCACCCAACCACCCACCTCCCGGCCATGCACCACCCCACCAGCCACGCACACCCACCCTCCCGGCCACGCACCATCCGCCTCTCCACCACTGCATCACCCTCTTCCACCAGTGATCCTGATGATCCACCTATGCTTCAGTAACCTTTCATCCTACTGTACAGTACACTTCATCAAGCTCCAAGCTTACACATACAAAGGATAGTATCATTGGTGACTTAAGTTTATCATACACAGTACGGTATAGGTATATAGTATTGCACGAAGGTAGTATAAGTTGCTATTCGTGGTTTTGCCACAAGGCTTATTCCTTGGAACCTAATCCCCGCAAATAGGTTTACTGTAGTATACATTATTATGTTTATAGTATCAACAATATATTGTACGTAATACGCTGGTGTTTCCGTAAATAAATACAGCTCCTACGATATGAATCGTTTTGACTCGGGAATATTTTCCTGTGAAGTAAAAACACTCTTTGCTGTAACACACGGCTCCATTTATGCCTGTATCAGATCTTTTTTTTATTGAATCAATCTTTTTAGATAAACTATTCAGGATTATGTGGGTAAAAAAATAAATGGCATGTCTAACTTAATTAAAACTGATTTTAAACTCCAGTTTCATCTTTTTATTTATTTTTTTTATATAAAAGAATGGAGTCCCCATCTTTATATGAGGTGTTTGAGTAACTGGGGCTAGCTGATGAAAACAATGTTTTGAGAAAAACATTTGATTTTTTTTCACTTTTGGGTCCATAACTCATGCAAATTTGCATCAAATTTTTTATTTTTCTCTTATTTTGTAGGTTTGGGTTATAATGCATCATGAATATGTCTGTGAAAGTGCTTAACATTCCATCATATGCCTGATTGTTAATGGTCTAAACTACTTGTACAGTAGTAATACAAAATACAGGTACAGCACTAAAATATTTTGAGATGGATTTACAATTTGCTGAACTTTAATCAAGATGACATAAGAAACACAGTCAGAATAAGCAGTAATGAAAACAATCACATTCAGAACCAGTCATCACCTTCTGCTTGCCTGAAGACTGGGGGTAAGATTGATAATCCTGCATATCATCGTCCAGTGATGCCTCATTGTCAACGACTGCTGCAGCAGCACCCTGTGCCTCCTCTTCAGCCACCAGAGTTCACATAGAACTGCTTGTATTTGGTTGGTATGTCGACCTGGGGGGGTCTAGACCTTCCTTTTCATCAGAAAATTCCAATATTTTTCTTTAATGTAGTACAGGTATTGTCCTCAGGCATTTTTGTATAGTAAAAAATAATTACTGTTGACCTCAGAATATTAAGTGTGCACTGTGCATGGCCTCAAAATGGCTTCACAATGCCCATGATATTGCTCAGATTGCAATAATAAAGAAAATAATAAAGAAAAATACAATACTGTATGTAATTTGTAATGACTTGAAAATAAAAGGATAAGCTGTATCAGAAGGTTGTTAACGCCAGATGCATTCGTGTGAGAGCTTTCAGTAGACCAGCTTATAACGGGGGTCACTATAACACACTGTATAGTATTTGATATGAAGATACCTTCCTAAAAACGTTATTTACTACCTTTGAGAGTTATATGATGACTCAGTTTGGCTACTTGTACACTTAGACAAATGATTAATGAATAAACCAAGTTCTAAAATAGATATTCTATGCCTCACCATTTCCTCTAATATGTCATGGAAGCCACACATCCACAACATTGCTAAAGCTGCCTCCCGAAAGTTGGGAATGCTGTACAGATGCCATAGCTACTTCACTCCTGTAGCAGTTGCTTTAAGTATATAAGGGATTCATTCGTCCTAACTTGGAGTACTGCTCTCATATCTGGGGTGGCTCTTCTTCTGTCCAACTGTTAGATAGGGTGGAGTCAAAGGCATTACTCCTTTAGTTGACAATCTCTCTTCCCTTTCTCTTCGCCACAATGTTGCTTCACTCTCTCTCTTTTACAGGTACTTTAATGGGCAAAGTTCAGTGGATTTGGCATCCGTTGTACCGCCGGCAAGGCCGTGGACTCGTACACGCTTTTGCAGCTGATCTTCCATCCATATCACAAGTAATTTCTCCATCTCATGAAGAGGACCTTGTCTTTTTTTCGTTATTATTGTTCCCTTTATAGGTGCTGATCCTTTCACTACCTCACGAATTCGTTCCTTGTCCTTCCAAATTGTTGATATCGTCAAGTGAGAGAAGCCAAGGTCGCGTGAAATGGTTGCTACCGTTTTTCCATTTTCATATTGCATTATTATTTTCATTTTCATCTCAAAAGTAATTGACTGTCCCTTTTTCTTCTCAGCACCACGAGAACTCTCACTTTAACGCTTGCCAGCCATTTTAAAGGGAATTACAAACGAAAATTTAGTCAGTTCACAGCCTGATCACTAACAACAATGACGGCCAAACACCAATTGATCGGGCTACGACGTTGATGCTGTACACCACAAGGCGGCCCAGCCCACGCTGTCATACGGCGTCACATTACGACCAAACGTCGGGACTCAAAAATACGTAACGTGAAAAATATTTTATACGACCATGGCGGTCGTATGTCCAGATTGTCGTAAGTCGAATATGTCGTAAGTCGAGGAGAGACTGTAATAGAAAATAAAGGTAAAATATACCTCATTTTTTTACAACAGATACAGTTATTAGTTCAGTTCAAGTGTCAGCTGTAAGACCTGCTTTGGTCACAAATTATGTACTGACTTTCCTACTGATAAATCAACTCAAGTGTCAGGTCTCCTGCAGCTATAAGAGAATTCTGGATCAATGAGTGTGTAGAAGGGTTACTGTGGGTGCACCTCATAGAAGAATCACTCTAGCTCTCTGATACCTTAACTTTTGAAGCTTGTGCAACACACACCTCATAGTGCTCATCCTGGGAAGGACACGTGCATTGAGCAGACGCGCCCTATGTATTTCTGGCCGCGGATGGCTAATGATATTTCCCTTCATGCTGAACGCTGTCGGACATGCTGTGAGAGTTTCGTCCAGTTGTTCCCAGGCCTAGTATCAAGTGGCCAGCACCAACATGTCCCTGGGGAGAGGTAAGCACGGACAATTTAGGAGGCCTGGCCACAACAAGAACATCTTAGTAACAACTTTACTACTCTTAGTCTGTTACCAACACATTCTAGACTGGCAGAGAACACCAAAAGTCCTTTTACGAAACAATGGTGGTCAGTTTAATAACGTTGTGCAGTACGGTGATATCCCCGTCAGCCGGGGATGAGAGATTTTAGTGTAATGAGACGACTTTCTCAAACCCGGAAAAATCCCACATCTCCGGAATTTTTCCAGTTAATGGGAAATTTTCTGAGTCTAAACTACACATCTCGTCTTGACTCTACACTGTGCATGTCATCTCGCATGGAGAAACACTCTCCCGTTACATCTAGACCGCAGGCACGAGCAAAAATATTTATGGCTTGTGAAAAACTGTATAAAGTTTTAATCAATTATATCTGTTCTTATTGTGTTAAGAGAAATGAATTTGATGCCATAATGATCCTAAATAAATTCTCTACCAGACTTTTCCAACAAGTGATCCTTAAACAAAATCTTTTGACACAATATAATGATGGGGACTCCATTCTTTATAAGAAATGTAACAAATGTTGATACTGAAGTCAATAAAATTACTTCTACTTATGTTAGACAAACAATTTTTTAAACACATAATCATGAATATATTATCTAAAAGTTTGGATGAATAAAGACACTTTATAAAACAAACAAACTCCATATGATGCAGCTGCGTGCGGTGTGAATGTTCAGTGATGGCACTGTGTCTCAACCAACACAGTGATGGCACTGTGCCACAGCCAACACAGTGATGGCACTGTGCCACAGCCAACACATTGAAATATTCCACTCTCAACGGGGCTGTATAGTAATACCTTCACTAGCTGGATCCCTCTTGAACAGCTGTGATGGAAATTTGCTCTGGATTTGGGATTGATTTTCCAGGTTGACAATTTGGTACATTTTCTAGAAAAATCTGAGAAAAATTCCGAAAACTCTTTCCAAATTTTCATTCTGGACGTAGGAAAAAATTTTGCGGGAGTTCCGAGAGATTGCATCATGCTCCAACACATCCCCATGTGCTCAGTTCATATTCTGCTGCCATTGTAGAAGGTCATTCCCTCACTAGCTGCTGTTTCTGTGTACCATTTGTGTTGTGCAGCGCCAGAAAATCTCAGCCAAGAATACAGTGTTAAGAACGTAAACAGTGATTACAGTTATGTATACTACAGTATACTGAGCAGTACAGTTAGTAAGTGGGAAACACTGGAAATCCTTAGCTTTCATCTTTAATCAAGGCATCTTCAGGTCATGATGCCTACTATTCACCCACCCGAACAATGGATGACCTGACATTTCATCAGGTCAGGTCAGTAACATAACCCAAGTTGGAGTCGCCTTGATGCAGGGGGGGGCATGCCAGTCCCAATGATTTGGTGAGCAGTACAGAGGGGGCTTGGCCCCTTCCTTCCTCCTCAGAGGTAGGGGAGGGTTTCCAACTGGGTGAGTCACCAGGGGGTCCAGAGTTCCATCCTGCTGCCGGTTTTGAGAACAGACCAGCAGCATCACCCCGCACAGACCAGCAGCATCACCCCGGCACAGACCAGCAGCATCACCCCAGCACAGACCAGCAGCATCACCCCTGCACAGACCAGCAGCCATCACACACCACCCCGGCACAGACCAGCAGCATCACACAGACCAGCAGCATCACCCCAGCACAGACCAGGCACAGACCAGCAGCATCACCCCCAGCACAGACCAGCAGAGCCAGCAGCATCACCCCAGCACAGACCAGCAGCATCAGCACAGACAGCAGGCATCACCCCAGCACAGACCAGCAGCATCACCACCAGCACAGACCAGCAGCATCACCCCGCACAGACCAGCAGCCATCACCACCAGCACAGACCAGCAGCATCACCCGCACAGACCAGCAGCCATCACCACCAGCACAGACCAGCAGCATCACCCCGCACAGACCAGCAGCATCACCCCGGCACAGACCAGCAGCATCACCCCGGCACAGACCAGCAGCATCACCCCGGCACAGACCAGCAGCCATCACCACCAGCACAGACCAGCAGCATCACCCCAGCACAGACCAGCAGTACCACCCCCAGCACAGACCAGCACCATCACCCCCAGCACAGACCAGCAGCATCACCCCGGCAGACCAGCAGCATCACCCCCAGCACAGACCAGCAGCATCACCCCCAGCACAGACAAAGCAGCATCACCCCACACAGACCAGCACCATCACCCCGCAGACCAGCAGCATCACCCCCCACAGACCAGCAGCATCACCCCCAGCACAGACAAAGCAGCATCACCCCCAGCACAGACCAGCAGCATCACCCCAGCACAGACCAGCAGCATCACCCCAGCACAGACCAGCAGCATCACCCCCAACACAGACCAGCAGCATCAGCCCCAGCACAGACCAGCAGCATCACCCACGGCACAGACCAGCGGCAACACCCCAGCACACACCAGCAGCATCACCCGGCACAGACCAGCAGCATCACCCCGGCACAGACCAGCAGCATCACCCCGGCACAGACCAGCAGCATCACCCCCACAGGAGACAGCAGCAACACCCGGCACAGACCAGCAGCATCACCCCCAGCACAGACCAGCAACATCACCCCAGCACAGACCAGCATCACCCCCAGCACAGACCAGCAGCATCACCCGGCACAGACCAGCAGCATCACCCCAGCACAGACTAGCAGCATCACCCCCAGCACAGACCAGCAGCATCACCCCCAGCACAGACCAGCAGCATCAGCCCCAGCACAGACCAGCAGCATCAGCCCCAGCACAGACCAGCAGCATCACCCCCAGCACAGACCAGCAGCATCACCCCCAGGTCTCTACATTCCAACACCTCACCTGCGGTGTTCCCCAGGGGACCAAGATGGGACCACTGTGCTTCCTCATCCTGATCAACGACGCTCTATCGGACACTCCTCACAGGTGGAAGTACGTGGATGACTGCACTGTAGGGGTTTCAGTGGACAACACCGCAACAGACTACAGCTAGATCCCGACTTACGACCACATGGCCTTACGTCCATTGGTACTTACGACCTGCTTTGACCGTACGTCCGTCGGGACATACGACCGCGGCAGTCGTGACCAAAAATATTTTCAAATGACGCGCGCATTTTCTATACCGAAACGTTTACGTCCAGGGCGAGTGGATGGCGCATCTCGGGTCGCCTCGTGGGTACACTCACTCAGTGGAGCGCTTTGTTTGTGTTTGGCTATCGCATCCTATACTGATCGCGCTGTGAACTTTCGTTATTATCGTATTTAATTGACTTTATAATGACTGGAAAGCGTAAAAGTGAGAGTGCTGGTAGTGCTCCAAAGAAAAAGAGACAGGCAATTACTTTTGAGATGAAAATGAAGATAATAACACAGCATGAGAATGGAAAAACAGTAGCAACAATCTCACGCGACCTAGGTTTCTCACACTTGACTATTGGTGATATGGATAGAAGACCAGATACAGAAGCGTGTACCCTTAAGCCTTCCAACCATACAGGCTAAAGCAAGAAGCCTGTTCCAAAGCCTGAAGGAGCAGGCAGGAGATGAATGTGATCAAACCTTTACAGGAAGTCATGGGTGGTTTGATATATTTAAAAAACGGTACAGTCTACACAATGTTAAGGTGAGTGGAGAGGCAGCAAGTGCCGATGTTGGTGCTGCCGAAGCTTTTAAGGAGGAGATAGATGATGTGATCGTGGAAGGAAATTATTTGCCTGAGCAAATATTCAATGTGGATGAGACTGGATGATTGTGGAAGCTCATGCCTGAGCGGACATACATCCACAAAGACGCGAAAACAATGCCCGGATTCATGGCATTCAAGGACAGAATTACACTTCTGTTGGGGGGGAATGTTGCTGGTTTCAAGCTAAAGCCTTTCATGATCTATCATTCAGAGAACCCCAGGGCTTTTAAACATGTCAGCAAGCACACACTGCCAGTGTTTTATCGCAGTAATAAGAAGCCTGGATGACCCTAGCACTGTTTGAGGATTGGTTCATGACTTGTTTCATTCCACGAGCCAAGGAGTATTGTCTGCAACAAAGAATTCCATTCAAGATTTTACTGATTTTGGATAATGCTCCGGGACAACCACCACACCTGGACGACATGCACCCTGATGTTAAGGTAGTGTACATTCCACCTAACACTACCTCTATCATCCAACCCATGGATCAAGGTGCTATTGCTGCCTTTAAAGCGTATTATTTACGCACGACCTTCGCTCAGGCTGTTGCTGCTACTGAAGGTGAGAAAACGCTCAGAGAGTTTTGGAAGGAGTACAACATTTTGTCATGTATAAAGAACATTAGTGCAGCATGGAATCAGGTTACAAAACATTGCATGAATGGAATATGGAAGAAAATCCTGAAAAGATATGTGCACAGTTTCAAAGGATTTAATGAAAATGAAGTTATTTCGGATATTAGTAACAAGATAGTGGAGTTAGGTAAACAGCTGGAGTTAGAAATTGATAATGAAGATGTTGGACAGTTGGTTGAAAGTGGAGCAGAAGAGCTCAGTAACGAGGATCTTATTGAACTAGATGCACAGAAAATTGCAGAGGAAGAAGAGAGACAAAATGTAGAAGAAGAACCTGCACCCCCCAAAAAGTTTTCAGTGAAACATATGGACAGAGGCATTTGCTACAATTAATAAAGCAATGCAAATGTTTGATGGCATGGATCAAAATTATGAGCATTATGCCAAAGTTGACAGAACGATCCAAGATGCACTTGCTTGCTACAGAGTAATTTATAATGAAAAGAAAAACCAAACTGTGCAGTCTAAATTGGACATCTATTTCAAGAAGTCCCCCAGTGCTGTCTCATCATGCCCCACCAGTGCTGCCTCTTCACTCCCTCAAGATGATCCAATACCTTCAACCAGCAAGTTTCCACAGTACATAAACCTGTCTGAAGGAAGCGACATTGATGACCCACCCAGCCCTGTCTCCTCTTCTGCTTCTTCCAATTAATATAGTCTCCATGTATCCTGTAAATAGAAAATTATGGGGGCCCCGTGTGCATTCAGCTGACTACATTTAAGGTAAGTGCTCAGTCACACTGTATCCATTCCTCATTATTTATTACTTTTACTGTACTGTATCCATTCCTCATTATTTATTACTTTTACTGTACTGTATCCATTCCTCATAATGTATTATGTTTAGTGTACTGTATTTCATTGTAGATTTTAAAAAAAAAATTGAAAAAACAAATTGATTATTTTTTTTTTTTATGTTTTTATTTAATTTTATTTTTTATCAACGTTGGACTTATGACCATGTCGGACTTACGACCTGGATTTGGGTCCCTAGCCCCGTCGTAAGTCGGGGAGGACCTGTACTCATCGCTACAAGGCACCCTGGACAGGCTACAGGCATGGACTACGGAGAACAAGGTCACCATCAACCACACCAAAACCGTAGTCATGCACATCAATACCGCCACCACTCCAATGCAAGCCCCAGCAGTCACAGTCGGTGCCCATCCTCTCCAGCTGGTGCAGTCTGCCAAACTCCTGGGTGTAACTATAGACAACAAACTTGACTGGAAGGCCCATGTAAATAACACAGTCAAGGCAGCCTCGTACCGTCTCGACATGCTACGACGACTTAGGTCACTTGGGACACCCACGCCAGAGCTGAGGACCATCTACAACACCTTTATTCTCCCTAAACTTACATATGCGTCACCAGCCTGGTCGTCTTCTCTCAACTCCACCCAACAACGTCAGCTAGAGAAGGTACAGAAAAGGGCCTGCAAAATCATGCACGGCGCAGAATACTCCGGCTACACCAACGCTCTCTCCACCCTGGAAATGCCATCCCTCAGTGACCTCCACCACCAAGCACTGGAAAGGTTTGGCAGTGGACTACTGCACCACCCTCGTCGTCGCCACCTCCTGCAGCCCCCCACCCAACTCGCGCAGTCCGCCACTACAACAAAATACAGCCCATAAGAGCCCGTACCGATAGATATAAGAACAGCACCATCCCATCTATTGCTAAAATAATAAACAACTCCTGATTTATGTACTGTACAGCCCTGTAAATGTATTCAATGCATATTATATCATTATGTCTAAATCAAATGTAAGTCTGTATATTTTCAGCCACCGGCTGCAACTCTATTAATAAACCGTTTATTATTATTTATTATTATTAGACCAGCAGCAGCAGCATCACCCCCAGCACAGACCAGCAGCATCACCCCCAGCACAGACCAGCAGCATCACCCCCAGCACAGACCAGCAGCATCACCCCCAGCACAGACCAGCAGCATCACCCCAGCATCACCCCAGCACAGACCAGCAGCATCACCCCCCGCAGCACAGACACAGACCACAGCATCACCCCGGCACAGACCAGCAGCATCACCCCGCACAGACCAGCAGCATCAGCAGCATCACCCCCGGCACAGACCAGCAGCATCACCCCCAGCACAGACCAGCAGCATCACCCCCAACACAGACCAGCAGCATCACCCCCTGCACAGACCAGCAGCATCAACCCCAGCACAGACCACCGTGTGTGGCGCCCCATAATGCTGAGAGACGGGAGTCCTGGAGGATGAGCGGCAGCGCCATGCAGCTAGCAACACACCTCTTTCGTCCCCTATTCCAGCTATACAGATGGCTTGGTTGGTCCCGATCAAGTCAATCGGCTGGTCACAGTGAGGCTAGGGTCAAGCAGGCATCAAGAGACCTGGCACTCATATGAGCTGGGGAGAGGGTTCCTTTCCATCTTCATGGCGGGAGGCTACTGTCCTGCCTTTCAAGACGACTGGAAAAGAGGGTCTTCACCCATTAAAATATCGCCCCATGGATCTGACCTCTTGCATCTGCAAGCTGTTTGAAAAGATGGTCAACTAGCAATTAGTATACTGCTTGAAGAAGCATGCCCTACTTTCACCATATCAATCTGGCTTCCAGAAGAAACATTCAACAACAGATGCTATTGTTCGTCTTGAGTCCTCGGTCTCTGAGGCTTTTGCTCGTCACCAGCATCCGGCTTGCATTATTTTTCTGACCTAAAAAAGCATACGACAGCTTGGAGTTTAGGCATCCTTAAGGAGCTATACCAATTTTAGCTTGCGGGAATATTTACCATCAATAATAGGTGAGTTGTTGGGATGTCTCACTTTTGGGTCTGCATTGCCACAGAAATGTCAGCACCACATATTCACGAGGACGGGGTCCCTCAGGGCAGTGTCTTGAGTGTGACGCTATTTGCCATCACAATAAATGGGGTAACAGCATCGGTTCCAGGTGGTGTATCACTCTCATTGTATGTAGATGACTCGGTCATTTGGTATGCAGCTTCCCGCATGTCAGTGGCTCAATGTCTTTTGCAACTTGCACTAGTCAAAGTTTCACGTTGGACCACAGAGCATGGTTTCAGATTTTCTCCCTTGAAGGCTGTTGCCATACATTTCTGCCACCTCCGAGGTGTTCACCCAGCTCTTATGGTCGTCATGTGTGATTTGTCACAGACACCCATTTCCTGAGCATTATCTTTGACAACAGCTTATGTGGCAGCCACATATTAGTTACCTCAAAGAGTCTTGCCATCATGCTCTTAAGTTATTGAGTCTTGGGGCACACATATAGGGGCACTGACTGAGGAACTCTGCTACACCTTTACAAAATGTTAGTTAGACCCAAACTAGGTTATCGGGTGTAAGGTGTACTCCTCAGCCACTGAAGCTAGACTCGATACACTGAACTCTATTCATCATGCTGGGGTGCACTTTGTGACCAGAGCCTTCAGGTCTTCACCAAACCCATGTCTACTAGTTGATGCTGATGAGCCACCCCTTGATCTTCAACAACAGTATCTCCAGGACCAGTGTTGGTTGAACCTCCACCACCTTCCACAGTCTGTAACCAACGCTTGTGTAGTTGACGAGACTATGTCCCCACACTACACTCAGCATCCAACCCCCCAATGACCTTTCAGCTTCAGGGTAAGGGAGGTTGTAAGTATTCTTCTTCTTCCTCCTGTTCAGATATGCCCCATGCGGCTCCTGAGTGCCGCTCCGTGGCTTCTCCTTGAAGTTAGTCAATATTTTAATGAAAGGAAGGATTTATTCCCACCCTGTGTGGTTCATTCTCTATTCTTAGGTCATGCCTCCTCTCAGAGGGGCTATTCTTGTATACAGCGATGGCTGTAAGTTGGATACAGGGGTGGGGTTTGGGGCAGTCTTTCCCAACTTCTGTTGGGACGTTAGTCTCCCCACTATGGCATCTATTTTTACAACACAGCTTTCAGGTATTTTACTTGTCCTCAACATTATTTTTCTCAACCTTATAGTGATTTTACAATTTTGAGTGATTCTCACAATGCTCTCGAGGCCTTAGCTAGTGTCTCATTGTCCCATCCCTTTGTTATAGATATATTACAGTGGCTGTTTCTCATCCAACATCGGGGCTGGAAAGACGTTTTTGCCGAGTTGTGGCCCATGTGGGGTAGAAGGGGAATGAGTGTGCTGATGCTGTGGTGAAAGTAGCTGCTTCTTGCCCTGTAGCACATCATTCCCTCCACCTTCCTCTCATATGAAGCCAGTAATTAGAGCTGCCATATGCTGGATGCTGTCGGAGCAAACAAGCTCTGCAGCATCCACCCTTCATTGGGTGTCTGGGGATATCAAGGACTGCCACACCACCAAGAGACTGCTTTGGCCCACCTCTGTATTGGCCACTCATGGCTGACTCATGGTTTTTTAATAGAGAGGACGCCTCCTCCCCATTGTGATGACTGTCTGGCTCTAGTGACTGTTTGACACCTCCTGGTGGAGTGCCCCAGTCTCGGAGATCTTTATCGTACACCTCTATGGTGCTCGGGGGGAGTGGGTAGTGGAGGAAGGTGGTCTTCTACACAAGCTTTGAGTTTTATCTATTAACCTTTAAATGTTTTGTTAAAAAAGTTCTTTGTTATTTATTACTTATGTTTTTTGCATTATAATATTTGATTTTAGTCTTTTAAGCCTTAATTTTCATTTGACGACAAGTGACATAAGCTGTTGTGTTGCCAGGGATGTAATTACCACAATCAATCATCCCACTGCAAGTGTTAAGACGTGATTACAGTTACGTATTACATTCAGCTGAGTGGACAGTGTCTGCCTACTCTAGGTTCAAGGCAACAGCATCTGCTGATGAGTAGAGTAGAGTACAGTAGAGTAGAGTACAGTAGAGTAGAGTACAGTAGAGTAGAGTACAGTAGAGTACAGTAGAGAATATACACTATAGTAGCAGTATACATTATTTTGTTTACAGTATTAACAATATATTGTACACCCACTAAAAAATTATTGGGCACCCTTACGGCGTGATACAATATGACAAGAGTGCCAAATAATGTTTTAGTGGGTGTACATATACAGTGGTGTTTGCCCAAATAAATACTCAGGAAGAGTGGAGAACACACAGCTCCTTGCACACCCATATCATATAAACAAAATTTAATATACTTATTTAACTAAGTTTTTATATTTTTTTTATATTTTTTTGTTTATGGGGATTAGCTCACCTGGGCACAGGTCACTGACCCACATCGGGGCCTGGGGGGCAAAAATGTACTAATAATAAAGGGGTAATAATAATAATAATAATAATAATAATAATAATAATAATAATAATAATAATAATAATCATAATCATAATAATTATAATAATAATACAGTTGTACCCCACTTAACGCGGTCAATAGAACCCAGAGGGTCCCGTGTTAAGTGAAATCCGTGTTAAGTGAACAACAGAACATATGGGATTAATTCCAATAGAAACTGGCCCGACCCCCAAACTCCACTTTTTGAAGGCACATACCTATGTTGTAGTAAAAATAACATCTTAATTTTATGATGGTACATGCACACAATTAATACTTAAGAGAAATAGAGAAATACAGTCGCCAAGTTAATGTCCATTCAAATAATGGACTCAACATCCCTCCCCCTCTCACACTACACTGCCGGCTCTTCCCTCTCAGAGAAATTTTTGGGGGAAAACCACTAAATTTAAATAAATAATACCTCAAACTAAAGTTAGGATAATACAATTGACATTGCTGGATTCCTTGTAAGACCAGGAATATTTTGAATATAAATGTCATATGTTTTGCACAAAAGATAACATAGTTACCTAGAGAAAAATTTTTATCTAAAATTTGTATGTTTAATGCAAAATATATGATGTTTATATTCAAAATGATCACCAAATTATAAGAATTCCAGTAATGTAAATTATATTCTGACCGGGTAATTTGTATGAATTTTATGAGCTAAAACAAATATCTTCAGTTAATAAAAAAAAAATAATCTTCACGACACTATCTGTCAATCAAAGTACCCCACCTTGCCTCCCCCCCTCTTCCAACCGCGCGGTCAGTCCCAACCCTCCCCCCACCCCCCACCAATCCTCCCTTCCAGAGTTTTTAACATTTAGTATTAAATAATACCTCAGATTAAAGTTAGGATAATATAATTGACATTGCTGGATTCCTTGTAAGACCAGGAATATTTTGAATATAAATGTCATATATTTTGCACAAAAGATAACATAGTTAATTTGAGAAAAATTTTTATCTAAAATTTGTATGTCTAATGCAAAATATATGATGTTTATATTCAAAATGATCACCAAATTATAAGAATTCCAGCAATGTAAATTATATTCTGGCCGGGTAATTTGTATGAATTTTATGGGCTAAAACAAATATCTTCAGTTAATAAAAAAAAAAATAATTCTTCACGGGGTAACAGATGGTCGGTCGGTCCCTCCCCCCAACCCCACCAACCGTCCCAAGGAGATGTGTGGGATAACCACTAAATTTTAATAAATAATACCTCAAACTAAAGTTAGGATAATATAATTGACATTGCTGGATTCCTTGTAAGACCAGGAATATTTTGAATATAAATGTCATATATTTTTGCACAAAAGATAACATAGTTACTCTGAGAAAATTTTTTATCTAAAATTTGTATGTCTAATGCAAAATATATGATGTTTATATTCAAAATGATCACCAAATTATAAAATTCCAGCAATGTAAATTATATTCTGGCTGGGTAATTTGTATGAATTTTATGAGCTAAAACAGGCAGTCAGGCAGGGTGGCGGGTGGGGCAAATCTAAATAGCGTCGCGGACTCACGGCGTATATGGAAAAAATCCGTGTTAAGTGAAAGTTCAGCTCTGGCGAGGCACCGTATATGATAAAAGCAGCGTTAAGTGAAACGCGTTAGGCGGGGTAATACTGTAATAATAATAATATGTATTTAATAATAATAATAATAATAATAATGATACCGCTTCTTGCGGTTTCGCTAACAGCCGTTTATGCCTCTCTGTGATAAAATTTCTTACAGTTTCCCACCTGAATATAATTTACATTGCTGGAATTCCATTGATAATCATTTGAATATAAACATCATAGATTTTGCATTAGACATGATACAGAATACTATCTATGTAAAATATATTTAATATTAAAACTGAAGGAGATTGTGGGTAGGTTAGATCTGTTGTTTGGAGAGGGAGGAAGGTGAGGTACTTGATTGACAGATATTATT